AGGTTGGGAAATGCAGTAACAAAAATTTACCTGTAATCCTACTGCCCTGGTGCAGCTAGAATTATTTTTGTGTGCTACCTTCTAGTATGTTTATATGGATGATGATTTACATAGTCATCTTCATGGCATAACTGTCTGTTTTTTTTCACCCACATTAAATCATCATAACTTCTTTTTTCCATGTTTCTGTACAGTCTTCACAATGCTTGCTACTTCTTAAAGATAATTAGCTGTTTGTGGTTGGTTGTCGTCTTTTATTTGTTTGAAATACATTACTTTTGAATGGTTTTTAAAATTTATGATGAAGAAAATAAAGAACTCATAATCTCACCATTCAGATAATAAAGAATTACATACATACTATCCAGACAATTTTAAAAAATACTTTAAAAAAGTGAGACATGTTGATGCTTAGAAAAGTAAAAACCTCCTCATCCTCCATTTTTAACTTCTCTGCCCAAAGTTTTCCACCATTAACAAATTCTATATATATATACACACACACTTTTTTTTTTTCATTTTTAAGACACTGACATCATACTGCATGACACCCTGTTCTGCATTGTGTTTTTCTCACTTGTATTTTGGAGATTTCCTAAAAATCATTAAATGGTTTCATTTGCTAATCGATGCCTATGTATTAAAATTAAAATTTTTTTCGTATTATTCATTGTAGAAAACTTACATAAGCAAAGATATGAAAACAAAATTTCCTATTTATACCTCCTAGTCATAACAACTCCTAACATTTGGCATTAAAAAAATCTTATTATATAAACCTGGAGATTGTCATTATAAGTGAAGTAAGCCAGAAAGAGAAAGAAAAATACCATATGATATCACTTATATGTGTAATCTTAAAGAAAAAAAAAGACAAACAAACTTATTTACAAAACAGAAACAAACTCACAGACATAGAAAACAAACTTATGGTTACTGGAGGGGAAGCGGGTGGAGAGGGATACATTGGGAGTTCGAGATTTTCAGATACTAATATACATAAAATAGATAAACAAGAAGTTTATAATGTATAGTATGGGGAACTATATTCAGTATCTTGTAGTAACTTATGGTGAAAAAGAATATGAAAACAAATATATGTATGTTCATGTATGACTGAAGCATTATGCTGTACACCAGAAATTGACACAACTTTGTAAACTGACTATACTTCAATTAAAAAATATATATGAAAAAGTCGTATATAAAATCTTAATTATATATAATACTAGTTTCTTATTTTGTAGTCTCTTTTCAGCTCAGCAATATAGCATGAATTTTCTTCTGCTGCCGAGTGTTATTCCACTGTATGGATAAACCACAGTGTACTGTATCCATTTTCTTATTGTTTGATAATTAGATTATTTCTACTTTTTAATGTCATAAACAGAATAATGTGATGAATATCTTGGTAGCTTAATCATTTGAGAAGTGACTTTTATTGTATTTCTTCTTATTGCACATATTAGAATATATGGGTAAGAAAAATAATAAAATAAAAAATCATTAGAACTTCACCCATCCAGCGATAAATCATTTTTTTATATGTTCCTGTAGTTCTTCCAGATTTTTCTACGAATATATAAATATACTAGTTCTATTTGGTAACATTTTTTTTATTTCAAAATATATATGGATTTTTTTTCATGTCAATGTCATGGCTTTCTTAGTAGCTGTATAATAGCCCATCATATGGACATGCTTCTTAATAATCTCCTATTGGATTTTGGTGTTGTCTTCAGTTTTACTCTGTTGCAAACAACATTGCAACGGACGTTCTTCTACAAAGACCTTTTTTCACCTTTCTAATTATCTCCTTAGGATGAATTCCAAAAAGAGAAATTACTGAGTCAAGAGACATGCACATCTGATGGCTTTTGATCATACTGTCAAACTGCCATGCACAATAGTTGTACCAATTTGTACCCTGACCTCAATGAAGTTAGGGAGAGCCTAATTCTCTTCTCCATACAAACCCTGCATGGGATAATTAACAACAACAATAATAACCAACTGTTCCAAATTTGACAAGTAAAAAGATACTATCACATTTTAAATTTCAAATACTTAATTTCCAGTAGGATTGATTTTTTTTAAGTGTCTGTTAGCTATTTATTTTTCTTCTCTGAATTGTTTGTTCATGTCCTTCACCCATTTCTCTATAGGAGTGTTTATTATATCCTTTATAATAAAAACTTTCAACATTTTAATTTTTTATTGTAGGAAAATACACTTAACATGGAGTTTGCTCTTTTAACTTAAAAAAATGTTTTTTTGGAGGGGAGGTAATTAGGTTTGTTTGTTTGTTTGTTTATTTTAATGGAAGTACTGGGGATTGAACCCAGGACCTTGTGCATGTTAAGCTTGTGCCCTACCACTGAGCTATACCCTTTCTCCTTAACTCTTTTTAAATGTACAGTTCAGTGGCATTAAGTACATTCATGTTGTGCAGCCATCACCACTATACATTTCTAGAATTCTTTTCATCTTGCAAAGCTAAAACGCTGTGCCCATTAAACAGTAACTCACCATTTTTCCTTCCCTACCACTAGACCGTGACAACTACCATTCTACTTCCTGTCTTTATAGTATTGACTACGCTAGGTACCTTATATAGTTGGAATCACACAGTATTGTTCTTTTGTGACTTATTTATTTTACTTAGCATAATATCTTCAAGGTTCATCCATGTTGTAGCATGTGTCAGAATTTCTTTCCTTCTTAAGGCTGAATAATATTGCATCATATGTATATGTCACATTTTGCTTATCCATTAACCCATCAGCAGATACTTGGGTTGCTCCCACCCCTTTGCTATTGTGGATAACACTGCTATGAATATGGAAGTACAAATAAAGATATGTATATTTTATTTTATTATTATTTTTTAATGAAGGTACTAGGATTGAACCTAGGACCTTGTGCATGCTAAATGTGTGCTCTACCACTGAGCTATACCCTCCCGCCCCCCAGATATGTGTATTTTAAACCAGTTTGATATTTGCCTTTTAATTTTGCTTATTGTGCTTTTGTGATGTGCTAAGGTTAAGTATTTGTTATTTTAGTCAAATCCATTAATCTCTTCCTGTATGGCTTCTGTCATTGACGCCAAGCTCAAAAAAATACATCCCTATTTTAATATGACAGTACTTACCTATGTATTTTTTCTAGTCCTTTATATATATTTATACACTTACATTTATAATTCATCTGAAAAATATTTTGTGATGTGAAATAGGGACTTGTTTTTCCCCTTCCTGTAAATGGCTAATTGTCCCATCACCATATCCCTCACTAATATGTATAAAATACTTATATTACACATACACAAGTTTGGATATATTTCCAGACCTTCTATTCTGTTTCCTCAGTTTTTTTGTTAATTATGTTGGGGAAGCTTAAAGAAAGGATAGTCAAAGGCAATTGCTAGCCTCATGCTAGACACTACACTTAAAGGTCAAAGGCAAGCTGCCAACCCCTCTTCTCTGTATCTTCTTCCATGTTTTCTTTTAGATGATGCTTCTGTATTGGTTAAGTTCTTCCCCTATTGCTTCCTGTCACTTTTTTTTTTTTCTGAAAAGGTTTTATCACTCACAGAGGGGAGGGGGCTCAGTCCTTCTCAGCTGCCTCTTTCCTCATGGCGGCCAGGATGTTGCTCAGCTCCTCTCTCTTCGTCTTGGTGCAGATGTGTGTCCCCACCTTTTTCTTGATGAACTTGAGGGCCCGCTTGTCCTTGGAGACCTTGAGCAGCTCCTCCATGGCCCGCCGCCCATAAAGGGCGAAGCCGCGCACCTCCCAGATCACGCGTGCACGAATTTGGTGCGTTTGGTGAGGTGCCCGTGGTGGTGGCTGTGCCTCGGCTCACGCACGTTTCCTGGTCACCTGGTGGCTCTTGTTGAGGCCCAGGGCCATGAGGTAGCGCAAGGAGGCTGCGCTTCAATGGCTGCCGCGGCAGAAGGGCCTCCACCGCGCGGAGCTCTGGGATATCTCTGGTCACTTCTTTTGTTGAGACTAGTGGAAAGCTAGATGAGGATTCTCAGGATTTCGGTAATCTTGATTTTTGTTGAACATAAAACAAAAGGGGAGGGTGCCTATAGATATAATGAGAGCTGTCAGTAGCATTTGGATTCCCCTGGAAACTTTTCCAGTGTTCCTGGGCATGGGCCCACAGGCCCCATGGGGAAGGTAAGCTCTCAGGGGCTCTACAGTGGGACCCAGTTTTTCTCCTCTCTGCATAAGCTTCTCTCCTGCAAAGGATGTGGTAGGTAGGTGGATTGGGAGGACACTGTGCAATGTGCAGACAATCTCTATATTGACAAACATTTCTAAAACTCAGGTCCTTTGAACCAGGCTCGAGATGCACACTCCCATGACGCCATGGGCCGGCTGGTCTCTGCTCAACTCAAATTAACGTCCTAGGGTGAAAGAATGTCGAAGGCCTGGTTGGGCAGCGTGCTGGGCCAATGCCATACTGTTTGAATTACTGTTACCTTAAAATAGTTTTAATAATCTGTACGGACCATCAGTTTTTATTTAAGGCACTAGGCGTAGTTTAATTTCTTTTTACATATAACTTTCGGGGCAGGTAGAAACAGGTGTTTTAAGGGAGTAAGGCACAGCGGGATTAAGCGAATCCCCTCCAGTCACTCAGCAAGTCAGGTTTCCATCACAGTAGAACTTGGAGAAAGTGACTCCTCGCCCAGTGCTCCAAAAAGAACGGGCTGTGTTGTGCCGCTGGGCAGGCAGGACGGGAGTGAAGGCAGTGAGGGGACAGGCTGCGGTCTGGGCTAGCGGCTAGCAGTGCGCTGACCCAGCCCCGGCCCGCTCCAGGGGCGGGGCTGGCAGCCGCCCGGGGGTGGGGGGGGGTGGGATGCGCACGGCCCGGCTGCACCTGCTGGACTCCGGCCGAATCGCTTGGCGCTTTGTGCCCGCCCCTCCCGCCGGACCCCGCGCCGCCGAGCGCGCCCTCAGCACTGGCCTGCGGCTGCCGGAGCCGCCTCCGCCGTGCGGCCCGCAGTGGACAGCGAGTGGGCGCCGCCCGGGAGGCATGGCGGGCCGCCGGGCGCCAGGAGAGAAACGCTGGCAGCTGGTGCGCTGGTGAGTGGGCACCGGGGGGCGCGGGGCCTGGTGCGGGCGCGAACTCGCACGCCCGGCGCGTGAGGCCCGGCCGGGCGCGCGAAGGAGAAGGGGCACTGGCCCGAAGTTTTCTTCTCGAGCTGTGGCGGCGGGGCCGGGTTTGAGAGGCGCTTGGACGCCTGGTCATCCCCATGCGGCGTCCTCAGGCGGGTCTTTGCGGCTCTCCAGAAAGATCTTCGCTGGGACCCTCGACCTTGTCCCTGACGTCAGGCTTTGGAGGGACCCCGGTTTTCCTCAGACTCATCGCCGGTTTACCCGACTAACCTTTTCTCTGACCTTAGTTTTCTTCTTTGTACAATGGGGCGCCTCCATCTACCCCCATTCCTTCTGATGCTCGGGGTCGGGCCACAGACTTTGGCCCCGAGAAGGCACAACCTACAATTCTCAACTCCTGTTCAAGGAGATGCTCCAGTCCACCTACCCTCGTACCCGCGGGGGTAGGCACTTCGGAGATGGAGTCTTTGAGAAGGGGTCCTAGGAGGTGAGGGAAGAGGTCCCCGTGTAGGTGGGTGATTGCCACAACTCTTACTGCAGCCCTGCCCAGGCCGGGAAATCAGAGCTGCCGGTGTCAGGTTGCGAGACTGCAGGCTAGAGGGTTTCATACGCATCGCAGAGGAGTCAGTCACCTGGGTTGGGCCCATGTCCCCAGTGTCCGAATGTTCAGGGCTGCTTCAGCCAGGGGCCTGACTCTGCTTGGTGGGACTTAGCATGCAGGGCAGCCTGCTCAGCCCACCCCTGCCCTGGAAGTTCTCCAAGAATCAAAGTAGAATGCCTGGCTGGGACTTCTCCCCATCTCAAAGTATCTCACCCACACCAGGACCAGGGGCATCTCTGAAGTAGCATTCCAGGACACTTCTCACCAGGTACATTCTGTAGCCTGCATACAAATAACAGCAATAATATCAATAATAGCAACCTGGTTTCTAGAGCACTTCCTACTGTGTCTACCATAGTCAGGCATTAATTCAGTTACTCTTCACAGGGATACTCAGAGGAAGGTTTTAGCACTTCCGTCGTATAGATGAGGAAACTGAGGCTCAGAGAAGGAAAGTTAATCAAGGTCACCCAGCAAGCAAGTAATAGGGTCAGAGTTTGAACTCAGGACTTCCCCAGGAGCTTAACTCCTCTTCTGCTTTGCTTATTTCCTGAACACAGGGCTTGGCCACACATCTAAGTTCATGTTGTTAAAAATATCTCAGCATGTCAGAGCAGGAGGGTGTCAATGGGTTTCCAGCCTGCTCAGCCCCACCCTTCCAGGGTGCTAAGAATCAAAGTCCAAATAATCAAAATTATTATTTAGCAGTGGAGTCATTCTTCAGATAAAGCCCCAAGAGCTGGTGGGGAGTTATTTAGTGACTTCTCGCTGGAAAAGAGGCACCACCCCAGGACCTCCCAGATGAGTTTGCTCAGTTTGATTCCTTCCCTCACTTCATGGAGGAGGAAACAGGAAGAGTGTTAAAGGGGCAGAGCTTGGATTCCTGCTCTAACTCTCTCTGCCCTGATGCTGCCTGGCTGAGTTAGATTTTGGGCTGGCCATGATGAAGCATAAATCATTGTTAATACCTCAATTAGGTTTTGGATCACCTTTCACTCCTGGGTGAAAAAGCCCATTGCTCTGAGAAGGTCCTGAAGACATGACTTGAGTGGTCAGATAGCCCTATAGGGAGCACTCTTGAGGGCAAGACACCCTCTGAACTCCACGGCACTTTCCCAGCATGGTCAGCCTTGGCTGGGCCCTAGTTCCAGGATTGAGTCAGTTTGCTCAATTCAAGTTGGCTTAAGAGAAAAAGGGAATTGATTGGTTTACCAGGAAATTTCCATGTTTCAGGCACAAATGGATTCAGGTAATGGCCACACTCTTTGCCCTGTTGCTTTCCTCTGTTCCATTTTTAATTCCCTTGTGGTGGTAATGTGGCTCTCAGCAGCTGCAGGCAGCTCTCCAGGTGAGCATCTCTCCTGGAAAGAGAGCTTACCTTTCTCAGTGATTTCTGCCAAAGTTTCAGAATGTCATCTCATTGGCCTGTTTTGGGTCACATGGCCATGGCCATCCCTCAGCCAATCAGTGTGGCCAAGGGGATGGAATACTCCCATTGGCCAGGCTGGGTCATGTGCTCACCATGGGAACTGGGGGGGTTAGGTCCACCCAAAGCACAAAATTTTGAGTGAGAGAGAGGGTGGTGAATATTCACTGGACAACAAATACATCTGAAATGTACTTAATTCTTTTAGAATGGCTCTAGCTATGGAGGTTCCTCTTCCAAACTCTCCATAAAGTGCCAAAAATGAAACTAGAATTTGGTTGGGTTCATCAGCTCAAGTTATTAAACATGTATGATTTTTTTTAGCATTCCCATTATGTCTAAGGGCCTGCGCTGGGCCCTGCCCAGTTTCTGATGGTGGAGGCTCAGATCTGGGAGAAGGAACCCACAGAGGCTAGAGGCTAAGGCTGTATGAGTACTTGAAAAGCAGTGTAGAGGGCTCCAGAACATTCTTTTTGCTGACTGTAAAGTATTCCATTGTAAGTTGGACCATAATTTCCTTATCTAGCCTCTAATGATGACTTTTTAGGGAAGTTTGAATATTTTGGTATTACAAACATCTCTGCAGTAAACCTATACCCATGCAAACATGTGCAAATATGGTGGTTGGATATATTCTCCAAAGTGATATTGCAGAGTAAAAACGTGCACATTGTGAAAGATACTTCCAAGTTGATCTCCAAAGAAATTGTACCATTTTATATTATCTCCAGTGATGTGTGAGTTGCCACCTTCCCCACAACTTTGCTCACACGGGTAATTAACGAACTTAAATCTTGGCACATGTCATGGGTGAAAAATGGTTTTTCATTGTTGTTTTAATTTTCATTTCTTTACTTGTAAGAGAAGTTGTTTTTTAAATGTTTATCTGTCATTTATGTTTCTATTTTTGTAAACTACTCATTTCCTTTGTCATTTTTATCCCTGTTGATTTGCTCATATACATTTTTCAAATTGATCTATAAGAGGTCTTTATCATGGAGATTAGTCTTTTTAATTTTTTTAAATAAATTTTATATTTTAGAACAGTTTAAGGTTTACAGAAAAATTGAGATGATAGTACAGAGAATTCCTATATATACCACACCCAGTTTCCCTTGTGATTAGCATCTTACGTTAGTCTGGTACGTTCGTTATAATAATGAACCAATATTGATGTATTATTATTAACAAAGGTCCATAGGTTATTCAGATTTATATCCTTTTTCTGTTATAGGGTTCCACCTGTATACCACATTACATTTAGTAATTAATGTAATTGGTCCTCTTGGCTGTAAGTTTCTCAGACTTGACTTGTTTTTGATGATCTGGACAGTTTTGAAGAGTATTGGTCATATTTTGTAGAATGTGCCTCAACTGGGATTTGTCTGATGTTTTTCTCATTATTAGATTGGGGTTGTGAGTTTTGGGGAGGAAGACCGCAGGGATAGAATGCCAGTGTCTTCACATCATATCGAGGGTACATACTATCAACATGGCTTAGCACTGTTGATGCCGACCTGGATCACCTGGCTGAGACAGTGTTTGTCAGCCTTCTCTTCTGTAAAGTTACTCCCCTCCCCCTTTCCGTAGTGTACTCTGTGGAAGGAAGTTACTCTGTGAAGCCCATGTCTAAGCAGAGTGGAGTTGTGGTCCACCTCCTTGAGGGCATAGTAGTTACCTAAATTGTTTGGAATTCTTCTGCACACGAGACTTGTCTCTTTCCTCCCCCTTGATTTAATTATCCAATCATTCATTTATATCAGTATGCACTGTTAGATATTTATTTATTTTTAATAACAGCCTTATTGAAATAGAATTCAGGTACCACACAATTTACCCAAAGTGTAAAATTCAATGGGAATATATTCACAGGGTTGTGCAAACATCACCTTAATCAATTTTAAAACATTTTCATCATCCCCCAAAATAATCTCATAGTTTTTAGCAGTCCCCTCCATCATTTCCTCCCACCCCACCCTCCCCTAGACTTAAGCAACCACTAATCTACTTTTTCTCTCTATGGATTTGCTTATTCTGGACATCATTTTATATAAATGTAATCATACAGTATGTGGTCCTTTGTGACTAGCCTCTTTCACTTAGCAAAATGTTTTCAAGGTTCAGGTTTCAATGCCTGCCTGAACTACCCCAGTGTTCAAAGGGAAGAATAGGTGTAACTTCTAAAGTGCCTGACCCTTCTCTCTTTGGGTGATGGGTTGCATCCTTCTGGAGTTGTCACCAGCCCCCACAACCGGGGGTCTCTTTCTATGAGCAGCTCCTACCCTTCCTCTTCTCTTCTTGTTTCTTTCAAAATGTCCCTGACTATGCCCAGGTCTTAACTCCTACTCTTGCAGGGATAATCTGAGAAGCTGGTTCTTGGCTGAGAGTGGCTTACGAGGTTGATCCTCTACAGTATTTAATCTCCTTCAATGTGCTGTTCAGTAGAATTTTAGGTACAAGACAGGATAATAGGGAAGATATCTGGGGATGGGTGGTGTTCTGTTTTTCCCTGTATTCGATAAGGTCCAATGCAGCAAATACACTTTCTAGATTCATAAATTGGATTCATTAATGGAGATAATCTGTGTCAGAGCATTCAGTGGAAGAAGCTTCCCAAGAACATAGGGAGTTGATCACTGGCTGTTGTGATTTTTTTGTGGCAATCTGGCTCAGTTGATCAGGGGGCTGGGTGAGGGTGTTGCAGGGATTTCGGGGATGATCAGACAGTCTTTGCACTCTAGCCAGGAGACAGACAGGCACATAAATAACTCATGTACAGGCAGGCAGAGAGCAACGCTGTGATCAAGGTTAAAAACAAACAAACAAAAACCAAAACATCCCTGGAACCTTGGAGCCATTTCGGATGCTGCCTCCGGGAGGAGCTGGGGATGGATTCTTAGAGGTGATGTGGTTTGAGCAGTTGGGGCCCAGTAGGGCAGGATGCAATGGAGGGAGGGCAGCTGAGATCAGAGCACAGCCTGGGCAAAGGCTCCCAGGTAGCAAAAGGCAGGGCATGTTTGGAGAAGGACAAACAGATCGGGAATGCAGGGGTCAGTATACGTGAATTGAGTGTGGTGGGGGGTGGGCATGTAATGGTTGGAAAGGCTGAAGGAGAGCAAAGTGGAGAAGAGTTGCACCTCTCAGTTGAGCAGTTTGGAGCACATTTGACAAGCGATGGGAAGCCACTAACCTTTTTGGGCAGTGGAGGAGCTGACAAGATCTATGTTGGGAAGTGGGGGCTGGTAAGGAGGCAGGAGAGGATGTGTTCTTGTGTCCAGAAGGGACCAGACGCCAGGGGCTGAAGGTGCAAAGAAAGCCTGCCTTTGCTGCTTCCCGCATGTGTATGACCTTGGACAAGTTCACTTCCCTCCCCTGAGCCTCTTCTTCCTCATCTCTAAAATGGGATCATCCAGTTCTGAGGGATTTGCAGTGAGGCTTGGAGGAGAGAGTGCAGGGAGTGAGTGTGTCTGTCATTGGTGAAGCAGGCAAAGCCCATGACTGGTGAGGACTGATGAGGACGGTGGGGAGGGAAGGCGATAATGAGGTCCATGTGACAGGAGCTTCCCTAGCATGATCTCATTTAATCCTCTCAACAACCCTTCCCAGAGTTGCAGATGAGGAATCCAGGGCTCACAGTGGAAAAATCACTCATCTAAACCTGGGTTGTGGAATCCAAGTCAGGGCGCCTGCAAAGAGTGGAGGGCAGTCCCTTCCACCTGCTTCTGGGGGAGGGTAGTGGGGGAGGGGAGGGTGGCTGGGGCAAGGAGGTGGAGGTGGTTCTTGTGGTTGAGGTTGTTTGTGGTCCACTCAGTGGCAGGGGTGGGTGCTGAGTAGGGAGAGGATTTGGGTGGGGATGGCTCCTGCGTGAGCCTACTCCTCCCTCAGCCTGGGGGCCTGTGTGTGTCGGGTGACAGAGGGGTCAAGGACAGCCCTATTTGTGGTCTGTCAGCCTGGGAGTGAGGAGGCATCATTACCAGGCCGTGGCTCTGCCAGCATCTTTGGGCAAACCCTGTGCCCACTCTGGGCCTTGTCCTTATCTGTAGAATGAAGCCACTGGACCAGATTAGTGAACTTTTGGAGTTTTTCTGGTTCTCGTGACCTAAGATTTTATGATCAACAGAGTTCTCAAATTAAAAAAAAAGATATTTATTTTTTGAACACATATTTACACGGTTCAAATTCCTAAAGCACTAAAGCAGTTAGAGTGCTCCCCAGCCACTCAGTTCTCTTCAAAGGCAACTGATGTCAGTTTCTCCCTCAGAGATGGCCACAGCATGTCATTCCTGGCTGAGTCCTGAGGAGCCCAAGGATGGGGAAAGGCATAGAAACTCGTAGAATGGGACGGGATTGTGTCAATTTTTTAGATTCCACATGTAAGTGATATCATATGATATTTGTTTTCCTCTGACGGACTTCACTTTTAGTATGATCATCTCTAGGTCCATCCATGTTGCTGCAAATGACATTATGATCCTTGCTTTGGGCTGGTTGTCAATCCAGAGGATGACTGGGACCCTCTGAGTGACCCTTGAGGTTCTGGAAGATCTAACCTTGGCATCTAACCCATGACCTCCACTCCAGAGCAGCCTTTCTCCTGCTGTGAAATCGAGAAGTCCAGTGTCTCACTCCTGTAAGGGGCTTAGAGAATGAACTCTTGTCTGATGCTTGACTCCCCTGCCCAGCCTCTGCTTACACACCTCTGGTGACAGAGAGCTCACCCCTTCCAACTGACTCCCTTCAACTTCAGACAACTAACTTTTAGAAAGTTTTTCCACCTATTGAGTTGAAACCTGCTCCCTGTAGCTGCCTCTTCTTCAAGGAATTCTAACTGTGGCCCTCCGGAAACAGAGCTTTCTGGCAGATGAGCGGGGGGGGGGGGGTATGTGGGGACAGGTACCTCTCATCTGTCATTTTCTACCAAGCAGGGCCAACTCCCCAAAGGTGCCCTGCAGAGCCCTGCTGGCCCACCTCCTCACTCTCTCCTGTCTTGCCCGCAGGTATGTGCAGGAAGGGCGGTTCCGAATCGAGGAGAGGACGCTGACAGCCTTCCAGTGGCTCTACAGCCCGCAGCAGCATCGCATTCTCAGCCGGGCCGACCTTGAGTCTCCCTCCAGGTAAGGGACCCACTGCCCTTTGGTCAGGGTCCAGGCCCCTCCAGGTGGTACTTACGCAGCCAGCCCCACACTGGTCCCTAAACTCACAGTGGAGAGTCAGGCCTCTTAGGGTCCTTGAGCCTGTCAGCTGGGGTGCTTGTCCAGCCTAGAATGCACTGAGTGATTTGAGGCCACTCACTGACTCTGCTTTCTCTTCTGTAAAATGGGTGTGACCATATTTTCCTTGCCTTCAGTCAGGAAGATCATGACTCTCAAGTGAAATGATGCCTGGAGATCATCAGCTGGTTCCTCTTTAAGAGGGAGAGTGGCTGGCTAATTTCTTGGGCAAATTTGACCTGGGTAGAGCCAGCCCTTCCTTCCTTGTTTCTCTGCTCTACAATACCAGAGAACTCAGCTGTCCGAGTGAGGGGCACTCAGATTCCTGCTCCCAGGCTCCTTCCTGCCCACCCTTCCTCCACACTGTGGACAGACATGACCAGTGTGAGCAGTCTTAATGGAGATATCCTGGGAGCCCTGCTGCTGCCACATCCCTTTCCAAGGCTTCTGCTAGACAAGACTGTGACCTTTCTTCCCATTTTTCCCATCAGAACCTCTTTACACCAGCTTCTAAATTAGCAGGACCCAAAGAAAAACAAAACAAGAAAGAAAAAAAGAGAGAAAGAAAGAAAGGAAGGAAGGAAGGAAGAAAGAAAGAAAAAAGAAAGAAAGGAAAGGAAGGAAGAAAGAAAGAAAGGGAAGAAAGGAAGGAAGGAAGGAAGATTTAATTAGCAGGACCCTTGATGCCAAGGATGAACAGGTTTTTCTTCCCAGGGGTGGTTGAATACAGGAAGATGGAAGTAGATGGCATTGGGGGGTACACCGTGTGCTGGCCAGCTAGAGAACAGGGATGATGCTCTTACTGCAGCTCCCAGACTGGCCCCAGGAGTAAGGTTCAGAAGTAATGGGAGACTTTACTTTCCTAGACATCTGCCAGGAGTCCTATTCAGCTAAGGGCAGTGCATCTGCTCCCTCGTATCCCAGTGACGATTTCAGAAGGTACAGGAAGCAGTCGGGGGGATAGGTACCTTGGATCCAGTTCTGCCCAAAGAGGAAGAATTAATTGAATGATGATGTGGAAGTGACAGGAACCCCAGGAAAGGGGACTCGGGCCACCTGGGAACTCTTGGTATTCAGGAAATGGGAGGTCAGACCAGAGCCCTAAACTCCAGAGGGTAGATTTCAAATAATGGAGAGAAAAGACCGAATGAAAACCCCCTAGAGCTTGAGGCAAGAGTATCAGGAAGGGTGCAGCCATGTGATTCTGAGTGTTCAGTTGTGAATGCTTGCAGGGGCAGAGAAGGAGGCTGCCCTGGGAGCACACTAGTGAGACTGACATGAAGGGCACATGATCGGAATTAGTTTCAGGCAGCATGCAAAGCCCTATCATGGGCCAAGTGCCATCTGACATAAAGCAGCTTCTCCCTCACCTCCTTTCCTTTCCTTAAAAGCTCTCACCACTACCTGACATTATCTTATTTGCTTATTTGTTCATTGTCTGTGGCTTCCCTGGAATGTGAGCTCTGTGAGGGCAGGGCTTTTCCATCTTGCTCCCTGCCGCAGCCCGCAGCCCTGGGTCCTAGCCCAGAGAAGGAGCTCATTATAGACGTACCAGGTGAAGGACAAATGTAGAAAGGCTAGAAGGGAGGCTCGCCCCAAGACTGAGAGTGGCTAGCTGCACCTGCCCAAGATAACAGCAAGAAAAGAAGAGGAGGGTGAGGCCTCTGCTCATGCAGGTGGCCTGAGGCTAACCTCTTTTGAGCCAAAGAACAAGAGTGCTCTTCAGAGTCACATGAGCCCGGCTGAGTCTGTGGGGGAAGGAAGCAATCATAAAAGAGGATGAAGCCATTTGAAATAACTTCAGCTTTTGGGAAGGCTACATCCTGGGGGCCTTGAAGAGGAGGCTGCCATAGCTCCGTGACTAAGCACTCAAAAAATTAACTATTACTCTTATATCACAAAAGTTGTACTAACTTCTTATGTGTGTTTATTATGTGTCATGTTATAAATGCTTTGCAGGCATAACTTAATCTTCGTATCAATGCTATGATCTAGGTACTAGTGTTTTCCCCATTTTTCAGATGACAAAGCTGAGGCACAGAGTAAGTGGCAGTGCTCAAAACCACTATGCACACTGCCTCTCAGAGAATAAGACATGTGCCCCAAAACGGGAGATGGTGAAGGTAATTTTTATCTTTATAGCGGGGAAATAAGTCCACGAATCATAAATAAGTGAGCTTAGCATCAGTCCTGGTCAGGTTTCAGGGTCTATGATTAAAGAGATGGTTTGAGGGCACTTAGAAAAGTAAGAGGTAGAGGATCAGCAGCAGTGAGTGAATTCCCTGAGAAGCCATCCTGCTGGGGGGAGCTGATTTGATTTTCTGATTAGTTTTCTAGACTAGAAGGAAGGCTTGGGGTGGTAAAGCGGGAGACAGTAGTTCTGAGTTTCAGCAAGAATTGTTCTTGTCTTCACATCCAAGCCTTGCAGGTGACACAGAGGAGTGTGAGTTGGGGGGGTGGCACATCTTGGGAGGCTGATGAGTGCGCTGTCCTTACTGAATCTGTTCATGAGCGACTTGGGGAGGAAGGATGTGAACAGCATGCTGGTGACATTGCCCAACGGGCAAGGTGGCAGAGTTGGACCGTAAGTGCTCTGGAGGCTGGGTTCCAGGTCCAAGTCTAGATGGTACAGTTTAATAGAAATAAAGAGGTGTGTGTACCTCAGTGGTGGAACCATGCATGAGGTCCTGTGTTCAATCCCCAGTTAATTCCATTTGAAAAAAAAAGAAAAATAAAGGAGAAGTCTGATTTGGCCTCCAATCCTGTCTGTACCTGGGCAGTAGAGCGATGCGAACAGCTATCTGACAGGTTCTAGCTAACTAGCAGCTTGGCTCCATGTTTTAAGAAAATGCTTACATCTTGGGGCTGCAAGAGCTCAGGGCAGAGGGTCCAGAGCTGGGGAGGGAAGGTCCTGCAATTTTGAGTCTCAGACAAAGAGGAATGTTCCATCATTTCCTCATTTACGTTGTGGACAGAGATTGAGCATGTCCTCCTGCTAAAATTGTGCCAGATGATACCCTTGAGTGGCTGAGTGGGTTGTGATTTGAGGTGATGGGCCAGGCTGCTGTAGGGACTCGGAGGGTGAGCTGGCCACCTGCCTTCCTTTCTTCCTTCCACCCTCTCCCGTCAGGCCCTGGGGTTATAGTGTCTTGTCTTAAGGAAGACAAGGGTCCTGCCTTCGTGGTGCACACGTTCTAGAGGGAAAGGCTACAGAGACATAGACAAGAGAATTTCCTGAGATAATCAGAGTGCTGAACAAACTAAAACAGGGCAACAGATAAAGAGTGACCAGTGGGTGTGTGGGGACTTTGGAAGAGGTGGATGTCCTCTCTGAGCAGGTGACATTTGAGCTGAGCCCTGAAGGACACAAGGGGGCAACCATATGGAGAAGCTGCTGGTGAGGGGTACTGAATAAATGCTGGGGAAGGGGCATAGGAGATGGAGGGGGAAGAGCAGTTACAAGGCCCTACCTATGTTCTGGAAGCAGAACACCATGTGGCCAGAGCAGATTGAGGCCCTGGCCAACAGATGGAAGGGAGGCTGATTTCTGTGCAATTAAAGGAAGGGCTTTCTAGCATTTAGAGCTGCCTGAGTACAGCGTGGGCTGTCCCCTGAGGGAGTGAGCTTCCCACCACTGAGGTGTGCAAGCCATATTCAGAGGCTGTCCTCCGTTGGAGGTTAAGGAGGAAGAGACTCAAGCATCCCAAAGGCTCCCTAGGGCACCCACCCTTCCTGCCTTCAACCCTTTCAATTTCAGGATCCTTGATTTGGCAGAAGCTGGGAGGATGTCTGTCCTTAATGAATGAAAGCCCCAGGCTCCTAGGTCCAAGGCAGGGTCAATTTCAAGGGTTCTGGCAGTCCCTGAGGCCTGCCACTTCCAAGTCCAGAAAGCACTGTACCCCCTCCAGCAGTCCCACTCACGCAGAGCTGGCGAGAGCCCCAGTGTCTTCCTCAATAGACCAGGAACCCGCAGGTCTTTCCGCACCTCCCTTCCCCACTGGATTGGGGGCCCCGTCCTCCAGGAACTTATGTGGCAGATGGGTTGCCCCCTCCTC